ACATTTACATTACCGTTAATTAGTCTAGCTTGGAAGGCTATCCTTCCGCAAAACAATGAAATAAAAAAAGAGAGAAAGCACCCTGATTGCACCCTAATTTCCTTCAATTGAAAAGATAAAGTTCATGAAAAAATATTGAATAATTTGATGTTGCTTCTTGAAAATCACGGAACAAGAGAAACGGTTAATTTTGAATATTTGATGAGTATTTGAGCCACAGCCTAATGGCGCTGAATTATGGAAGGGAAGTTGTTAGGGGAGCCGCCTCTGGAAAGAAAATGCAAAATGCCTAAAGGCAACTCCGGAAACGCTTTAATAGGACTCAAACAAATGTATGCCGCGGTTTTATCGACTGACAGAATTATCGGCGAAGATGAATGTTCCCCTCTCCACAAGTTGACCCCTCGTACTGCTTAGTGTACTTTTCGCCGTGCTTTTCTTCAGTACTTGGAACGACAGACTGAATAACATCAAAGCCAGTGTGTATTATAGTGATGACCCAGATTGCAGTGTTTTCAACACTTCTCTCTACTTTTTTTCGCTGTTGGGTGACTCAGAACCAAATCTCCTGGCAAACATTGGCAAACTAGTCGCAGTAGAAGTTATCGAGAAATTGAAAAGAAGCCCGAGTGGTGAAAATCAGCGCCGGTTTTTCAAATCAGGCGTCATAAGAGGAAAGTGCGCTGCTCAAATTTGACCTGCGCCGGACCAGTAGTTGTGTGTAATGGTGTTCTCGAAATACAAGGTGGAAGGTTTGGTTCAGGAGCCCGAAGAAGGAAGAAAGGAAAAAATTGTTGTCGTGGATGGTCCCATAAGTTCATCCTGCACAAGAAAAAAGGGTGGATGAAGTCAAGCGCTGAATGTCTGATCCCAGAGCCTGGACCTTTGTCGAGCTTCCCCGCGAGACTGACATCCCTGCTGCAACTGCTGCCCGAGTTATGTCCGATTGAGGATGGTCAAGAGGGTGTGCGCATGGGTACCTAATTTTCTTGTAGAAGCACGAACGCAGTACCGATTCTATGCCTCTAGCAGTAATGTTCTCAGCATGAGATGTCATTCACGACTGTGAAAACGCACCCCGGCCCTAGATGAAATATGGGTGGTCTTGGACCTCGAGCCAAAACTCACAATCGTCAATTTTGTATGAATGCAGATGAGAAGCCGCCCGAGTTCTACCATGAGGAGTTACGTGGGCGCAAGTGGATGATCATCACAGATTCCCACACTGTGGCTTTCAGCGGCTCTATACAGAGAATAATCGTCGCTGTCGGTGTATATTGCCTGTTCCTCGGCAATCAGATCGACAAATGGATGATACCACACAACTACAAGAAGGCCACCGTTGCTCGTCATAGTGCCAGACCCCGAGTAACTGTATTGTAGGCAGTGCTGGGACACAAACAATACTGAGACCTGGGTTCAATCGCCCCATTCGCCAACATAAAGCCGTTCGATTCCAACTGTTCTGGTCAGTCGAGGGTACTCTCCGACGGCAAACGCTACAACGTTTTGTCATTCGCCGAAATTGGCATCAACAGCAATTACAGCAACAGCAATTTACTCGCACTTGTTGAAAAAGCGAAGGTATCAGAGCGTTCCAAAACGCTCTCAGGGCCTTGGAGTGGTCTGCATGAGTGAAGGAGCAAATTAGTTGAAGACACATAGTACTGCTCACACACACTGAGGTGTATGCAGACCATCAGCCCCCCCCCAGCTGCTCGACCTTCGTGTCGTGGTCTCCGACAAACATTAGGGGATACAGGACCGTGAAACACGCTAATTCCTCCATGCTCCGCCCTACACCTTTTTGCGGCGCAGATTCCCGTCCTTCATAACATCCGTCGTAAGCGCGCGTGTCGCGTGCGGCTCCTTGGCACTTTGCCAAGTCCTTTCATTGCGCTCTCAAATACGAGTAAAACGCAATTTCCTGAATGGGATAACATGGAGGTGTGCCCAAAATAAGAGGCGTCAGAACCTAAAAAAGCCAACTGTGCCACTGCTGCAACATCCGCGGACGGCCGGATATGTTCCACGAAACCATGAAGAAATAAAAACGGCATACTCGTTAGTTTATACAAGCAAAACGCAATTTCCTGATGCGAATAAAATTTTAGGTGTTGCTCATACTTCAAAATCCATGTACAAGGAGATGAAGATGACACAGGCTAGAAATGAAGCACACGATGTAAATGCGCAAATAAAACAAAAACGAAAAATTACAAGGAAACAATAGTAGTTAAAATCGCCTGTAAAATTTCTACGCATCGCGGCGGCGAATCCGGCTATAGACAATACTATAGAGCTATAGAAATACTTAGAACAAACGAGTTTGACTCTTGGGTTGTTTTTATTCTCATGTTTTGTGGGAATGCGCGGCCTCTTATGGATACTGCACATGCAGCCGAGTTGCTTTTGTGTTCTGGCCCTCGTCATCATCTTCTGTTATTTCCTTCTCTTTGTTGATTTTGTAGCACCGTCCAATGATTATCGCGCATCAAGGAAAGTGCGTTTTACTTGTCATTTGAGGCAGCGATTCGAAGGACGTTTGGCTAAAGTGCCAAGGCAGCGCACGCCTGCGAGACGCGCCGCTTTACGAGCGGATGTTATGAAGGACGGGAGTCTGCGCCGCAAAGGGCACATCATTGGTTGGCGAATCCAAAACAGGGGGGGTCGTATTTTGCCGCCATGAGAGGGGGGGGCGTAATGAGTGTCGCGATTTAAGCCAGTAGCGAGCAGCGCAAAGGTTTTGTGCTGAGTCCCGTACAGCGAAATTTGCTTTGTAGAGAACTCGGATATGTAAAAAAATAGTACAAAACTTTCACTCATCAAACTAATCCGAAATAACTGGAAATAAAAGTCGACATCATCTCGTAAGTGACTAAACAGTACAACTCATACTCTGGTTCGCTGCGGATGTTGGGGCGTGTCCGCGATCGCCGATTAAACGCTCGAGCCAACCATGTTTTTTCGACGAACGACAGGACTACCATATCTTTTCGTATCAGACGTTTTCCAGCAGTTGGTCTCCTCTATCGGAATCAGCGATTGGCGGAGCCACGAATCTGGCGGCGTCGACAGGGACACGCTCCATCATACAGCAACGGAAAACACTGTAAAGTGCACAGGTTCGCCATGGACCTCCCTGAATCCTATAGACACATTTGCTCGCGTGGACAGACATTACGCTCAAATTGCACCATCCCATCACCTCTGCGCGGACCTCAATGCGCGGCGCATCCAAAGTTAGCATGATTGGCGCTAAACAAACCACATCCTGCTCCTGCTCCACCACAGGATACGTTCTACATGTATTTTCGGCTATTTGAACACGCTCGCTTGAAATCGTACACAGAAAACGGACTTTCGAACAGTTCGGAGTGTTCCCCAAATAATCCCCAAAACGCAACTATCTGATGACTCCCGGAAGCTTCAAAAACGTTCAAGTAGTCTTTGGGAAGAGCAAATCTTCTACAACTCGACACTAGCTTCAGATTCCCAAACTACTGAGGTTGCAAGGGAAATATCTTGGTTCAAACCTGTAAAACTCGCGCTCCAAACTATCCAAAAAATGAAATCCCTAAATAATCCCCAACGCAAATTTCTACATGAAATCGGCGATCTTTATGTACATGTTAGTATGTTTTGGAAAGATAAAATCTTTCTCCATACCACTGCGTTTCATTTTTTGCCCAAAGGTTCGTTGATTTACGAGAAAGTCTTTGCGTCTTTAAGAGGACCCCACTTTCCTGAAAGTCCGCCGCTCCAATTCGAACCACCTGCACAACCACCCTGTGCGGGCTGAGACGTCCCCCTGCCAGAATCCCTTTCCCGGTACCTCGGCCTTTAATCAGCTGATTGCGGCGTGGTTTGCTCTTAGTTCGTATTTACCCTTTCGTGTTTATCTTCTTCTCGGTTTATTCGAATATCGAATATTTATCTTCTTCTCGGTTTACTCGAATATCGAATATTTATCTTCTTCTCAGTTTACTCGAATACGCGTCAGAGCGCGCCCCAGCAATTTTGCTTGGACCGCTCAGGAATTGCTTTAGGAGAAGTGGCTAACCTTCGTGTTTTTTCTTCCGTTATATGCAATTGATTCAGGGTACACAGAGTTGTTTTTGGCCGAGGAAAGGTGGGTGAAACCTAATGGCCTTTCTTTTCTATTCTCTTTTCTGAATCAGGATAGAAATGAGCAAAAAGCGAGGGGGGGGCCTCGTACAGGATTGTTACTTTCTTCCATTTTTCGCGCTTACTTTTATACATAAACTTATGAAGTTCTTCCTCCTCGGGTAGGGGGTGTATAGGGAAGGGTCTACCCGAACCCCCCAACAGCGGGAGGGGAAGGAGTCGGTGCCGCGGCGTCCACCAAATCACCTAGCGCAATGATGTGCCCTGCCAGCCGCCCAAAAGCCGTGTAAGGCGGAGCATGGAGGAATTAGCGTGTTTCACGGTCCTGTATCTCCATTCCTGGGCATGTTTTGGCGGGGGACCACGACACATCGACAGCTGGGGGCTAGATAATCTCTCATACACACTCGGGGGTGATGTGTCTTGACGTACCACAGTGTCTTCAACTCCTGTTTTTCTCTTCGTATTATGGAATAAGCAGTCTGCGGCTGCTTTTCGACGACCTAGATAAACGTAGCTACCCTTAACCCTTGCCCAATCGTTTCCGCTAGAACTATGAGTTGAGAATTAGGATTGTACTGTATTTGTTGTTTCCTCAAAGCCATGGGGATGCACGCGGCCTCAATTCGCAAGACAGTTATTTCTGTGTACAAGTTCGATTTCTGTGTATCAAAGACATTCATTTCGTTTCATCGAGAATCAATTCCGTATTCTTCAAATGACGTGAAGCATCTGAAGTTTCGGAAGTCGCCTTAAGCAACATGTACAGCGCACTGTGACAATCTGAGCACCTCAACAATAACTATGAGCGCCCTTTTGATTAACAAGTATCACTTAGAGGCGGCAACAACGAAACATTTGTGATCCTATGTTCACATTCGGTAGAACGTTCCTCGTTTATACTTTGTCGCCTTCCCAGCTGAAGGGGTCATTTCGAGCGGGACGAGTCGTCCACGCAGTATAAAGACCATCAATCCAGCCAAAGTAATCGCCACCAAATGATACACCATGATGTATTTGTAGCCAGACGTTTCAAATAAAGCCCTGAATCAAGTTAGAATGTGAAGGCCTACTTTACAGACCTGCGGAGAGGGCTCTTCGTACAACTATAATAATTTTTCTTACGTGGAAAATATAGGAACGGTGAACTGTGCCATACTTCCTGTGAAAGCAAATAGTCCTTGAATTGCACCCTGAAAAATGGCCTCGTCATGATCTTCAACTGCTTGCTTTTACTAATCCCATGCGGTTAGAATTACTTGTACCTGTTTCCGAGGACCAACTATCTCTGACAGTAGTGTGTTCGAGGGTGCTGATATTAGCGGAAAGGAGAAGCCTTGAATAATAGCGAAGTTGAAGAGATATAGTACCATTGGGACCCTGCCAACAATTGAGGACACCAAAGAAGTGGCATGCTTATAGGGAGATTACCTGGGGGTGTAGTCGCACCATTCGTACTCAACAGGACATCCACCACCACTTACAGATGCTGTGCCATTCACTAAAATGAGAAGTCTGTCTGAAGCACACGAATCGGATTAAGGTCAAATCCAATGAAACATGCCTAAAGGAGGTCTCGTTAGAGGGCCCTCGTAGAACGGTAGGGGATAGTGACAAAAATGAGAATACCAGAACCCTAAAAGGCCCATGGCTACGACGAGACGACGATCCCTGGAACAATTCTTTACTTTCCTCTCGAGAGCAACTGTCAAAGGAGCAGCTTCATACTGATGCTCGCTTGTCCTCTCATCAACAGCAGGTAGAGAGTAAAATATAACTAAAAAAACAGGCGGGATACAGAACACAATCTGCGTGTAAAACTGACTGTGGAGGAGCAGCGACTTGACGCCACTCAGTTTTAGGGCAGGAAGCCCCTTGCCATATGAAAAGCGGAGATGGCGGGCTCTCGCTTCCTGGCCTCACCCCGGGATTGCTTCTATATATGACTGGCTAATAGACCTAGGTATCTGAACCCGCTCACGGTGTGCTAAAGCGTGTGCACCACAGAGTCGACACATGTAATTTCACGCGCAATTTTCGGGGTACTGCATCCCGCCTGTTTCCCTAAACTTATAATCCAGTGGTACCGAGCTGACCATGTTCCAATTCGTGTCGAACCGATAATCGTGTAGCCTAATGTCGACACTCCACATGAGATTCACTTGTATGATGCCGTTGTACAGAACCGCTTCTTCGTTTGTCCAATTATACATGGCGATCGTTATTGGAGCGGCAAGCCTTGAACAGAAACTAGCACTCGCTTCAAGTGGAAAAATTGGTTTCTCCACGAGCTACTGACCCCTCTGTACTAGCAACTCCACAAAGCATCCACCACATGTAGAACAGAAGAAGAACGGGAACTCGATCGAATTTCGGAATGACGAGGAAAGGATCTTCTGAAATGTTGCTTTTATTTTTTCCGTAATTCTTTATACTTCATCCGAGCAACCGTATTAAATGTTTCATTCGTGGACGACTGCTACGTTCTTTCTGGCGTGAGTCCGCCATAAAGGGTGAGGGGTGGAGCATCATTTAGGAGTGTTCCCTTCACTCACCGTAAAATTTCGCAATGTTCTTTAAAGTGGAAGAAAAGTAAAAATTTCACTGATTGCAACTACTTTGACATTTCCTATGCTGGACGCCGTATAGGGGAAGAAACTGTGGGTGTGGGTCAAAATTTTGCTTTTCATTCGGGAAGAAAAAGAAAGCCAGAAAAGGGCAAGCTCTTCAGTGTTCCTTGCCTGTTTTTTCTAGCTCTGGGTGAAGAAAGGCCCTCCAACCTCCAAGTCGGTATTCCAAGCCGCTGATCTAGGGCATTTTCCAAGAGTGGGCGGCTTCCACAGGGAGCCAGGAGCCTCCCATAATGGAAGGGTAATCCTGCAGCAGTTGAAGAATGTGAAAAAATAGAAGAAATGAACTTTTAATTTTGCAAAGTTAGCGATTCAGATGTGGGCGGAGCTTCATGTGACTGCGCGTCTATGAACACCTTCCTTAGGTGAAGAGTGGATGTGAAATTAACGAGACTGAAAAAGTTCTGAAAATCTGAAATCCAAAACGAATTCCTCAAACATTGGGCGAAGTCACTCATGTGTCGATCTACACTCCGTTCTATTACTGTGTATATGCGAAAGAAAAGTGCAACTAGTCACATAAGCTGAAATTATGGAAGAATTTTAAACGTCTTGTCCATGCTGAAATGGGCGTGGCTGTTGGGGCGGAGCCTGCAGTATTCCAGAGTGTGCTGTGTGTTTAACACTGTACTGAATTTCTTTCAGTAATTTGTGAGACTATGCGAAGCGGCTCGGCAGATTAAGAGGGCTTTGAGTGCAAATGGGCGGAGGTGATGAGGTGGCGAGTATAGTGCTCACCACGCCAAATTCTCTGATTGGGTCCCGCTTAAGTTTTCAAGCCTCATGTCACGGTGACAGCAAAACAGTAAAAGATCAGACTGGTGTGTGAGAACACTGACTTGCACATCGGCTGGCCTCCGTAAGTCATTGTATAGACATTGTTGCATTCAAAATGCCACTACGATTCAGAATGGATAGATTAGGTGTCGTATTCCGAGAAGACTGGTCAACGGCATAAGCTCTACGCTTTTTGTCCATTTCAAATAAAAGTACTTGCCCTTTCGTAGCGCACTTAGACTTTGACTCTTTCTTTTCTTTACCTTTCTTCTCATCGTCACTTATGATACCGACGTAATCTTCGACGAGCACAATATGCACCACAAAGATAGAAATGATGTTGATGAGAAACCTGAAAAAAAGAGTGTTATCCGATTTCAATATGTGCACGTGAATATAAGAAGTGTGAAAGGCATGGTCCGCGATCAGGTGTAGAATTTGAAAACATGGCGTCGGGAGGGTAGTGTGGTCCGCGAAGAACAACCGTGTACGGTTGGCAAAAAATTGTAAGGGACGGCGCTATAGCGCAAGTATAGGTTCAGTGACGCCTCCTTTTTCCAGTGACTCCGCCCCAGACTCCGCCTTCAAGGCCCGCCTTTCAGTGGAAAACGAAGCTGCCGGACGAAAAAGCATGAAAATCGTCACTTGTACGGTCGTAGAGTTCTTATCGGGGAATCAGCTGTGCGGATGAGGGCGTAGTGTTAGAGATGGAGTTATTTTCTTCACTATCGAGTTATTCAGGGTGATGAGGGTGGATGAGCCAGCCTCCGGCTGCTTTGCTTGTCCAATGGCAATTGAGTAGTGATCGATGTAGGAAGAGACAATGCAGGTGAAAGCGCCGTAGATGGGGACCGTGATTGCGACCGGACTGTTTGCAATGATATCATTGCATGTGACTTCATACACCTCCTTTCCCACATCCCCCTCCCACCA